GGGTTGACTGTGGCAGCATTGCTGCTGATCAGCAGGGTGGCGACAACGAGAAATATTATGAAGAAGGCGCGCATGGTTTGCACTATCAATATGTGCTGGCGGTTGCCGACGAGACCTTCTCAGAGAAGTGCTGCGTGTTGCTTTTATTGCTGGTTGTGTTGTGACAAAAATGCCCAGGCTCTCGAGAGCCCTGGGAGCCTGGACTGAGACCATCACACACATATGGTGCCTGTACCTAACCGACAACCTGCCATTTCTAATATCGGGGTGAGTGATCGTCGTTCGAGACAGGAAGGTATCCGCAACGTCGCTCTCGGCGAGAATTGAGAGCCTGCTCTCGCGCAAAAAATAGCAAGACAATAAAAGCAAATATAGCGAGCGGATCGCCATGCGGCGCGGCGCTCGGAGTCTCTGGGGTTATTCGCGTGGTGCTTAAATATATAGTTCTGCCATTTTTATAATCCAGTACTCTGTAATTTACCGTACCTATACATGCTTATCATTCAAACGACTGGTGCATCTAGTAGAGGTAGGACGTATCTGACCTACGCCCTACCTGTGCTTAGAAATTCTATTACTTAGAATGTATCGATCCCACCATAGAAATAACACTCGGGTTTCTGGCCATTAATAATTGTTGAACTTATTTTCGAGACGAAGCTATAGCTCAAATTGAAGCTGATTCTCTCTCTCTAATGATGGTATTTTGCTGCGTCAAACCTAATAAGTAGAGAAGTTCAACTGATTTTGTGCGCTCGGTTTTAGATACCAATAGTTTTGAAGATGAAAATTATGCTCCTGGTGTAGCCCCAGTAGCAACAACAGTCCATCAAACTAGCAATAATTTCTCATTGTACACCTGGGGCGGGGGTTTCCACGCCTTTCCGGAAGATGTTGCGCTACCAGAAGGCACTACCGAGCAAGCATGGGTGTTTTGGTGCTGTAGAGACCCAGCAAGATCTCTGCCCCCATTTCGTAGACTGAAGAGCGTTGATCTAAGAGAAAAGAAACACAAAAAGCGGTTATCAGACCTTAAATTCCTTATGGGATTGGTTGAAGAACGCGCTTCAGCACTCAACATCGATACGAGGACACTTACTACAACAGAAGAGGCCGTGGAAGTTTTCCGACGATGTGAAGATGTCTTGGAGATGCCTGATGAGACTCCAAACGCTCGAAAGCGACGCAGTAATCAGTTGGTTTGGCAAACAGTGACTTCTATCATGCGTAAGAGATTAAAGAGCGTTGGTCATCGGTAATAGCAGCACTAACATTGCTCTACATCACCTTACTGGAGGTCTTGGTTGTCTTGGTTGCGAGGGATACCTTAATAAACTCGAAATCAACTGTGATATGATTGCTTGCCGATTATAACGTAACCACTCCAATACCTTATACGTACCCCTCAATGTAACCTCATTCGGCAAAACAGGATAATCGTCCGGTAAATTCCGCCCACAAGTAACTGATTTTGTGCGCTCGGTTTTAGATACCAATAGTTTTTTTTTTTTGGTACGGTTGCAATTTTTGGCGATAGTAATCAAAAATTAAATGTGCACAAGCTCGTCACAATTATCTACACGGATGTGGTAATAGTGGCAATCATATGGGCCTAGATGCCTCTTTATGGCTCGATAAAATATAAGGCATTTGATGCGATTTTCTTGCGATGCGCAATCCAGAATTTTTTTTGTCAATAACACAGGTTTCTGAGCATCCATTGGAGGACTGGTGTTACTGTCGTCCATATCTTCCATAGCGTTATCATGTCTGCGTCATGTGTTGGTGTCCATCGCGCAGTGCATTGTTGTGCTTTTGCCATGAAGTTTACTGTTGTCGCTGGGGCTTGTCTGGATGTTATAGCAGGCTGTAGTGCGTCTCTTTCATTGGGTGTGCTGGAGTCGCCTAGCCAGGAATCCAGCCATCGCTTCCAGGTCAGTCTGGCCTTTTCACGTGACCAAAGGATATGGTCGATCGTTTCGTGATGACATGAGCACGACTTTTTGAAATATTCAGGCCCATACCCATTTAAATGTATTCCAATTTTAGTATTTAATAATTAATTTGAGCACACCCAATTTATATCGCACTAAAACCAAATTTCTTTTTTTTTTTAGTTTTTTTTTGAGGTTGCTGTGGAGCCATTCGTTTGCTTTTTTACCGTTCTAGTGGTAGCCCTGCATTTCCAGACTCCAACTTTCCCCCGTCTACTTAACCGACACCACGTCCTCGCTCAACCATGGCTCTCAGCAACATGCAAGTCTGTGCTCTGCTCTTTTCGAAGGGTACTGACAGCACCTTTAGTTGCAACACGCGCGCTAAAGTCTACAAAAAGGGCAACGGCTACACCAACCTACTCAACCACCTGATGCGAGACCATCCTGACTACGAGCGCGACGCCCGAGACGCAGCTCGAGCGCAAAATGCGCTTGGGTTCCAGCTCGTGGACCAGCGTAGCCGGGACATTTACCGGTGGTGCCAATGGGTAATCTGCGAGCGGCTCCCGTTTGCATTCGTTGAGCAGCCGCTCGTGCGCCAGAACACGACGCTGTCACCAATCTCTGAAGACACGCTAGCGCTGTACATCTCCCGTATCGCGAAGGTGGTCGAGCAGCTGGTGTCTCGCCTGCTCCCCGATTCATTCGGACTGGTGTTGGATGGGTGGTCCAATAGCGGACGCCACTGCGTGGCTATTTTTTGCAGTTTTTGATATTGAGTCAAAAACTGGTACCAACCCTGGTACAAACTCCTCTGACTACTACGACGATCTCGAGTGCCCGTCCCGGAGGTTCCTACTGTTGGCTTTCTGTCCGTTGAAGATGAAGAGGATCTCAGCGCGCAGAGTCTCTTTGATCTGATTGTAGACACGCTGACGCGCTACAGGAAGCTGTGGGAGACTGTCAAGTTCATGGTCGGGGACAACTGCTCCGTCAACCAGTGCATTGGTCGCAGGGAGGGAGCGATCCCGTTGGTGGGCTGTGCTAGCCACCGTTTTAACCTGGCGGTTCAAGACTTTCTGAAGAGCGAGGCCAAGCTTAATGCCAAGATTCAAGCGCTGATGACCAAGCTTCGTACCATCAAGGGCCGTGCGCTTCTCCGTCGCGTTTCAAAGTTGGCTCCATTACTGCGCAACGACACCAGATGGTCAAGCACCTACGCTATGGTGAAGCGCTACGTGTGTCTCGAGCCAGCCATTAGCCAATTAGGCCACGGTGTGGTTGTGGACTACGACCTCCAGCCAACTACTTCGGCGAGCAGAGCACGAGCGCTCGCGCGGGCTGCTCAATGACTTGACAGCGTTCGAGGGGTGACGAAGGCGCTGCAGAAGACTACGCTGACTCTCTCTGCTGTGCATCGGCTGTTCGACCAGGTTGTGAAGAAGTACCCGGCAATGAAGGCACGACTGGTTGCCAACGCAGCCATCGTCAACTATCCAAACTTAGAATCTGGCCTCGTTAAGTTGCAGCGGGGAGAGGCGTTGACGGCTGCTGAAAAGGTGGCGTGCTCTCAATTTAGACTGCGTGATGCAGACAAATCAGTAGAGGCTGTGGAAGAGCAACATGACTTGATTGTGAAAGAGGCATTCAAGCGGCGCAAGGTGGCCAAGCTTGCGGCGTACGAGGATGTTGCTTTCATCCCACCAACCTCCAACGAGTGCGAGCGCTTTTTCTCGTCCGTGAAACTCGTCTACACAGACCTGAGGAAAAGGATGGAGCCGGAAAAGCTCGAAAAGGTAATGTGCTTGCTTTATAACAAGGAGCTTTGGGACGTCCAGGTAGTTGATGATGTGCGCCGCAGTAATGCTAATTAATGCAATAATTCATTTTTTGCTGCCGCAGCTAGAGATTAATCCATGAATTGCATTATCGGTAACACTGTTCAGACCATCTCTTGTGGTAGAGTTGGAGACCAGGCCCTCCGAAATAATAATTGTATTGGAAATCCAATACAATATTTTACCGTCAAGAAGTTATTTTGGAAAAAATTCGGTTCATCACCAGTACAGTACTTAAGTAATTTATTTTTACCAAGTCCAAACTATACTTTTTTTTTTTAAAGAAATTTACGTTTCGCCCACTCACAGGCTTCATATACTCCGTAATTATGCCCCCGATGCACCTGGAGACCGTGCTGTTTTGAAGCTGAATAGGCACTTTTGGAAAGCAGCCACCGTTACCAAGGTGGTTCATGCTCAGTAAATTGATCTTGCTGTGAGCTCGGGGTAGTGGCAATACATTTTCATTATGGACAATAACTTATTTTGCGTTCCTTCAGGTTGGTAACAATTGCTTATTTGCTTGTGATGCAGCAATTCTATTGCAATAGTATTATCGGGGGGTCTGTTGGAGAGTTCCCAGCGTGATTCGGTAGATAGTCCAAGTTTGGTAGTCGGTAAAAAAGCCTTGTCGTTTCCAGATTTGTTTTGGACTTTGTGTCAAGGCCGCTTTGCACCATGTCAATGATGCCGCTCTGTGTGTGACTTTGTCCGAGATTGTTCTCCATCGGTAGAGGTAAATACGTTTTAAGAACCGTGATCTTTGTCGTCGGAGCAGTCGACTAACCGCAAATGCTGCAGAGTTCTCTGAGAGTGACCAAGGATAGATGGCTGTTTGAGGTGTAGCTTTGAAAGCAATACCCTCAAAGTAAGTCCATTCCTCTATTATGCCATAGTCCTCCAGCTCTTGGTATTGTGGCGCTACCCATTCGATGCTCCACGCGAATCCTTTCTCAACGTCAACACGTGCTGAGGTGCCGCCTTGAGTCGAGTAATCGCTTGTATTGTGGTGCCATTGCCATTGGGTATCATCCACAGAATCGGTCTGTCAACCTTTGGTAGTCCTAATGGCTGAATGCCACTGGGTTGGTTTGTCCATGGCGTCCAAGGAATGCCAAGCAGTACGTATCGGGCCCACCGCCGAACTTGCTTCATATTTGCGTTGAGGCGCTTGCCTGCCACTAGCGGTGGTCGGAGTTTAGCTGCGAATTCGCCCGCAGGTGGCCTTCGTTCCTCCGGCTGCACTTGAAATTCGCTGATTGACGCTGATCGTAATGCTGGAAACTCGCCTAGTCGAAGGGGTTGTCCTCTCTCGTTGAGAATGCATCCATTATCGTGAGGTGGCTGCTTGTATGAAATCGTAAAAACTTGACTGGAGTTCACGTTTGGGTATCCGACTTGCTGACAAACGTATCCACGAGTCGCTTATAGCATAGCATGAGCTATTCGCCGGTTCGTCCGGGATGCTCTGTTGTATCTCGTTCTTTTCTTGATCGTTTGGTAGCAGGATTGGCGAGTGTGCTGCCCACAATTCTGCTACCCCAATCTTTAGCACTGAGACCTGTGGCAACTTGTGTTTTTCAGTTAGCATTTTGCGCAGAGTTTCTATCGATGTCGGTCGAAAGATTTCTTCAGCTTCAATGTTAGTGCTGCTTCGTTGGAGGTTTTGCACGCCAAGCCGTCTTGTAGATATCTTTTTCTCCTTGGAGCCATTTATCTGCGAGGTTGCATCTAGTGGCTTGTAGAGCTAGCTGAATGTCTTGGAGGCCCAGTCCACCCTCTTCTCCCGGTGAGAAGACTAAAGCTGGGTTTAATTTGTGACGCGTCGGGTCCGTTGTGTTACTGCACACAAACTGTTTTTGCAGATTCGTTAGCTTGCGCAGTGTTTCTTTGGCTGGTATGAACTGTTTCCCAGTGTACAGTATTCCAGGAAGCGCTACCACATTAAACAATAATACTCGTTGTGCCACCGAATTGCTGATCATAGTAGCTATTCGAAGTCTTCGTTGCAGTTTTTTCGATTCGTATTTTCCAGTTTTCCTTGCTCGTGGATAAATTTTCCACCCAGTAGCCAAGCTGCCTGGTAGTAGCTGTGGGGTTGAGGACGGGGAAAGCGTTCTAATACACAGGGGTTCCGTGAGTGTTAAGGCCGATAAGGATACTCTTGTGTGGTTGCACCCGTAGTCCTGATAGCTCTCCAAAACGGTCGAGAATTGATTTCATGGTGTCCAGCTCCTAGGTGGTGTTCATGAAGATAGTACTATCATCGACAAATGCTGAGAATTTATGGCGGTGAGATGTTGTACATGCTATCAGTATTCCATGCAGTACTGTGCTGCTGACGTTGTTGTAGCCTGCGATGCAGCGAAGACATGACTCCATTCAGCTGTCATTCCCTCCTCGATTGGGAACTCTTCGGCATAAACGTGCCCAGGGGAGGGATCTATGGCTGTGATAGACTGATCCCTTTGGCAGTCAGAATTACGTTTGTAGAAGCGACGCGTTTCATCTACGGAACCGGCTACATGGTTTCCAAACGAACGGGCTGCCCTGATTCCAACTTCCTCGGCTCAATCTTCCAGAATCTCTTGCCGAGTTGTTTTGAGCATTCTGGTCTCCTCTCTCAGCTTTCTAAAATGCCTGTCAGTCTGCTTGAGGTCCGATTACTTTGTGGATACTAGTGCTTCGACCCATTGAGTCGCGGTGAATGCTTAGCCTTTAACATAAAATAGGTCCAGCCTACTTGCTCCTTCTTCTCGCCAGAATGTGTAGTGATGGAGGGGGTCTATCTCTGCGTCCTCCGTATCAAGATCGTGTTCGAGCTCTATAGCGTCTGTGAGCTCGTTTCGATTCAGAAGATTTTCCAATTCGACACTTTCACAAGGTGCAGCGCTCGGTCGCCTGAAACAATTCGATCTCGAGACGGTTGTAAGACACAGTTGAAGTCACCTCCAAGAATAATAGTCGCGACCAGTTAGACATGGTTCTAGATCTTGAAAGAACTGCCTCTGCTCTTTCTCCTGATTGGGAGCGTAGATATGCCAGCCGTCTAATTCCACGGCCATGACTTGGGAGGTCGAGCTCTCTTGCTGCCAAGGTTTATTCTTTTTGCTTAGCTCAGGAGATAGAAGAATTCCTACCCCAGCCGTTTTAGTTGTGATTTTGGTCCAATAACTCAGTGATTCACCTTGCTTGTTCATTTGCCAGGTCCTTTGCCAAACTGCCTGTAGTTCCCGCACCTCGTCATCGGTGTGAAGGGAAGTGTCTTGAACTAAAAATATGTCAGGTACTTGGCACTCTCTTTTTCGACGCCATGCGCTCAGCCATCGTCGCCTCGACTTTATGGCGAATACTCTCAGGTTTTGAGAGGCAATTGTCAGGTTTTGGCGTAGTAGATGTAGGATCTTCAAAATAATGCGTCAATGTTCACCAGTTCCGCATAGTAATCAGGTTCGTGTGGGTTTTCCATATCGGTCATCATCATTAGAGAGAGACAGCTCAAGTTGAGCTAAATGAATGTCTTCCATCCTTGGCAATAAGAGCGAACTTAGTCTCAAAAACAGCCCAGTACCCAATTGTATCACTATTGTGAATTGTTGAGTGCAGATCTGGGTATTCTTGTAGGACTCCAAACAACAGGTGAAGATGCTCCTTTGTAGTGATCGGGACATCGGCTACAGCATTTCTACCGATCACCATTAATTCTGTAGTATAAATGTAGGCGACCAGCAGCATTCGAGATAGTTTCTGTCGCTCTGTATCTCGACAAAGCTTCAGAAGCTCTGATTGGGCGTACTTCAGTTTTTTTCATCTCCTTCCAGAACTGTAACGTAGAGGAAGCTTGTGTTGCAGGATGCAAATTGGAAAGTGATATTAGTAAATTAAAAGTCTACACTCTTTTGTGTCTAAACTATCTACTAACCACTCATTGCTAAATGTAAATTAGTTTACGAACGTCCCGTAAACTAACCTGTAACTCGTCCCGTAAACCGTACCATAATCCTAAAGATTTAAATAATACAATCAACGCGGATGCGTTACACGACCCCGTTTTGAAAACGAATGCCTCACTTGGAAGGGCAGTTCGGCGCAATGTGACCCACCTGGACGGCGTTACTGCAACTTGGCAACGACACGACAACAGCTCTTACAGCAACACAACAGACCACATCACCACAAAGAGAGCCACAGAGAGCAACATTTGCTAAATAAAATACGTTCATGGCGTAATCTATAAGAAATATAGGACGGGAACCGTAAAAGTTCCCGGCCACTTATTGTGAATTCCTTAGCAGATCGCAGCCGGCTGTTCAAGAATGAGCGACGACGACATCAGCCATGCCAACCTTCTCAAGAGTGCTACTGCTAGCCCAGGGTATCTAGAGATAACTGCAACTAGCCGTGGTCGAGCGGAGACTATTCAATCTCATCAGGTCAAGCTGTGCCAACAGCTGCTTCAGTCCCGGCTTCAGCAGATTGAACTAATGGAAAGGAAGCTTGAAAAGCTGGCCAAGTACTCGACGAAGCTGCTAAATGCGCACGATGAGCTGACTACAATGATCTCGCTCGAAAAGGAGGAAACCACCCGCATTGCAGCCGTGGCGGGGGTTCCTATTCGCAGCTCAAAATACGTCATGTCTTACTCGGTTGTGCTGGAGGAGTGTTGCAGTTCAATGCTAGGCCACACGCAGCATTGAAAACATGAGGACCAGAGCGGGTAAGAAGAACACAACTAATTGACTTCCTAACAATATATGTTACGTCTTAATTGTCGCCAGTAACTCAATATCTGTGTCTTGGACAGCCTTTGCTACTTTGTTTTCTCTCGTGGTCACCTCGGGTTGCCTTAAGATCATCCACATAATGCGGAGACGCATAATAGTGACGTCGTCCTGGCTGACAGCACATCGGGTAAACAGCAAGGTATTTTTAAGCATCGTGTACACTTGGGCGAGAACTAGCACTCCGCAAGAAGTTCCGTCTGGCTGCTTCGGTCCTGAAAGCCACACATTCTCCTCTACGATTGGATATGGCTCTCCCGGCAAGGCAGAATCGTGCCAAACTTTCAAAAACTCGGCCACTACTGTCTCGTAGGTGTGCTGGAGAGTGTCGTTGTATGCCGTAGAGCACAATGGTTCGTAGAAATACGGTGTGACTGTCGCCATCACCGTCCGGTATGAAATGTCGACAATAATCACACCCCAGTGTATGTCGCTCAAATGAACAGGCAACACAACGTACTTGCAGCTCTCAATAGGGATTTCAGGTGGCCTCGGGCATCGCAATGACGGTGCGAATGAGTCCAACGCATAGAAGTTACCAATCGATTCACAAATGCATCGAATTCCAAAGCCGATAATCGTATCACTCAGCATAGGATCTTGGGCAACCATGCCAACCATTTTCTCCACCACGACAGTTCCCTCACCACCTCACCACAATCCGGTACGTTTTTATCCGGAAGCGTGATAG